AACAACAACAACAACAGTCTTACTAAGTAAGTGCATTCCTGGTAATATGATATGCCTCAATAGAATGATATGGTTACTTACAGGTTTTAGATAGGAAAAAGAAAAGTGTTTTCAGTCATTTTGAAAATTACTGATTTTTTTTTAACTCACCAGTCATTACTGGCATAGGTCTTTGAATTGTAAACTATAAAATGTTGACTTTGTTTCTGTCCAGATGCCCATTGACATTAATCCATCCTCTCATGAATATTGTTTTGTACATTGTACTGTGCAAGGTGCTCTTGGAGATAAGGAGGTCAAAGATCTGTTTTTAAAGCATGTAAAATTTTAGGTTTTTTCTTTTTTCCCTGTGATTTGTGTGCAAGTTTACAGAGCAAATTGGTTTTCCATTCAACAACCATATATATTCTGTTTTGTAATTTTTGCTACTGTCCCCACACTGCAATAGTCTTCTCACTTCTCTGCACCCATGCCTTCCCTTTATTCTTCCTTCCCATCTCTCCTGCCTTAGCTCTATCCCTGCACAAATGCTCTCCTCTTGATCTCATATACTTGATTGTTCTAATGAGTGTATAAAACAAAAACCAGACTTATTACCATTGAGCCAATTCTAACTCATAGTGACCCCCAGTGGGTTTCCAAGGCTATAAATCTTCACAGAAGTAGATTGCCCCATCTTCCTTCCACAGAGCAGCTGGTGGGTTTGACTGCTGACCTAGTGGTTAGCAGCCAAATGCTTTATCCACTAGGCCTATCATATGGCTGCCAGTTGAATCACAGAGGTTAAGTTCAGTTCCTAACTTGAAGAGTACCAAAGGGCCATAGTCTTAGAGGTTCTACCAGTTGTCATCAGACCAGTAAGCCTGGTCTTTTTTTGATGATTCTGAGTTTTGTTCCACATTTTCCTCCTCTCTGTGAGACTACTCATTGGTGATCACTTTCAGAGCAATCCTCATCTACTTCTGGTCTCGGGATTGTGGAGGCTGGGGTTCACGTGCTCCATTGTTTTCTGCATCTTTGATTTTTTTTACCCTTTTTTGCTGCAGACGAGAAGAAACCAATAGTTGCACCTTAGATGGCCATTCAGAAGCTTTTAAGACTCCAGTCACTATTCATTAAAGTGGGTGTAGAACATTGTCTTTGTGGACTATACTGTGCAGCTGACCTTACTGTGTCCCCTGAAACTATGATCCTGAGCCTCCATACCCAGCAACTCATGCCCTCAGGGTTTTTGGTTATGACTAAGACATTTTCATAACTTTGTCCCCTGTATTCTCTACTATATTCATGAATGTATTTGTAGCACATATAATTACATCAGTGGAAATAGCCTCTGTCAAACCTGTGTAAATTCATGGGTGTAGTCCCATTTGCCTTCCCACCCCTGTAGTGCCTAAGGCATTTGACTGCTAACCAGAAGGCTGGCGGTTCAAACCCACTAGCCACTCCTCAGGAGAAAGATTGAGCTGTCTACTTCCATAGTGATACCAGGAGGGGTATCACTCCCAGAAACCCAAGGAGGGGTCGCTATGAATCAGATCTGACTCGACAGCAGTGAGTTTTGGTATATGTATCCACTCACAAATTACTGTTACTATTGTTGTGCGATTGTGTATGTAATAGTATTCACCTTTTGTTTCCTTTCACTTCTGTACTTTTCCCTATGCCTTCCACTGCCTTGATCATTTTGTGCTGATCATTCCCTTATTATATATTGCCTTTCCCTTTACTCAATTTAATGCATGAACCATCTAGTTGGTGACTCTTCCTCTCTTCCCCTTCCACCCCTGGTAACCTTCAAAGAACAGTTCTTTCTGTGTGTAAACCTTTTTTTATGTTTTTACAGTAGTGGTTTCATAAAACAATTGTCCTTTTGTGATTGACTAATTTGTCCTCTAGGTTCATCCATGTTGTAAGGTGTTTTGCAAATTCATTGTTATTCTTTAATGTTGTTCAGCATTCCATCGTGCATGTGTACCATAATTTGTTTATCTGTTTAACAGTGGTGTGCAGGCAGGTGGGTGTTGGAGTAGTTGGGGGGAAGCTGGGAAATGAATGCAGCAGTTTAGAACAGCTAAGGGAGACAAACTTGTCTGTCAGTTTGTTGTACTGTGGTGGCTTGCGTGTTTCTGTGAAGCTGGAGGCTACCACTGGTGTTTCAAATGCCAGCAGGGTTACCAATGATGGACACGTTTCAGCAGAGCTTCCAGACTAAGATAGACTAAGGAGAAGGAAGAGACCGTCCACTTCTCAAAGAATTGGCCAGTGGAAACCTTATGAATAGCAGTGAAACATCGTCTGATACATTACTGGAAAACTTTATGAATAGCCCTGAAACGTTGTCTGATATAATGCCAGAAGATGAGCTCCTCAGGTTGGAAGGCACTCAGAACATGACTGGGGAAGAGCTGCCTCCTCAGAATAGAGCTGGCATTGATGATGTAGATAGAATAAGGCTTTTGGGACCTCTATTTGCTGACGTGGCACACCTCAAGATGAGAAGAAATAGCTGCAAATACCCATTAATAATCAGAACATGGAATGTACAAAGTATTAATCTAGGAAAATTGGAAATTGTCAAATATGAAATGGACCACATAAAGATCAATATCCTAGGTGGTGGTGGTGGTGTTATGTGCCATCGAGTCAGACCTGACTCATAGCGACCCGCCTTGGGTTTCCGAGGCAGTATCACTACGGAAGTAGATTGCCTAACCTTCCTTCTGAGGCATAAGTGAGCTGAAATGGACTGGTTTTGGCCATTTTGAATCAGACAGCCACATGACCTACTGTGCCAGGAATGACAAATTGAAGAGGAATGGTGTGGCATTCATTATCACAAAGAATGTTTCAAGATCTATCCTGAACTACAACGCTGTCAGTGATAGGATAATATCCATACACCTCCATGGAAGACCAATTAATACTATGATTATTCAGATTTGCACACCAGCCACCAAAGCCAAAGATGAGGAAGTTGAAGATTTTTATCAACTTCTGCAGTCTGAAACTGACCGAACATGCAATCAAGATGTGTTAATTATCACTGGTGATGGGAATACAAAAGTTGGAAACAAAGAAGAATCACCAGTAGTTGGAAAATATGGCCTTGGTAATAGAAATGACATTGGAGATCGCATGATAGATTTTTACAAAACCAATGACTTAACTTGTTGCAGATACCTTTTTTCAACAACACAAATGACATCTGTACACGTGGACTTTGCCAGATGGAGTACACAGGAATCTTTAGATTGACTATGTCTGTGGAAAGAGGCAATGGAGAAGCTCATTATCTTCAGCCAAAATAAGGCCAGGAGCTGGCTATGGAACAGATCATCAACTGCTCATATGCAAGTTCAAGTTGAAGCTGAAGACTTACAAGTCCATGAGAGCCAAAATACGACCTTGATTATATCCGTCCTGGATTTAGACATCATCTAAGGAATAGAATAGGAATAGATAAGATCCATTGAATATTCATGACCAAAAACCAGAGGAATTGTGGGATGACATCAAGAACATCATCCATGAAGAAAGCAAAAGGTCATTAAAAACACAGGAAAGGAAAAAAAGACCAAAATGGATATCTGAAGAGACTCTGAAACTTGCCCTTAACCGGAGAGTAGCTAAAGCCATTGGAAGAAATAGGAAGATAGAAGAGCTGAACAGAAGATTTCAAAGAGCAGTTCGAGAAGACAGACTCAATTATTATAATAAAAATGTGCAAAAACCTGGAGTTAGAATACCAAAAGGAAAGAACACACGGCATTTCTCAAACTGAAGGAACTGAAGAGAAAATTTAAGCCTAGAGTTAAAATATTGACATATTCTACGGGCAATATATTGAATGATGTATGAAGCATTGAAAGAAGATGGAAGGAATACACAGAATCACTGTACCAAAAAGAATTGGTTGATGTTCATCCATTTCAGGAGGTGGCAAATGAATAAGAACCAATGATGTTGAAGGAGGAAGTCAAAGCTGCCCTGAAGGAATTGGCAAAAAATAAGTCTCCAGGTATTGACGGAATACCCATTGAGATG